TCCGCTGGTCTCTTATTCCAGTGTTTCTAGTCTTAACCACTTCAAACTAGGGAAAACGAATAGAAGATTAGGAATCAGATAGATGAAGACTTACTAACTCATTTCAATCATTTTCAATTCTTGTTTCAAGATCATCCTCGGTGGACAAAGCCGAGTCTTGTCACTATCAACAAGGCATAAAAAGTAACAAGGACTAAGATGTGTTACGGGGCAAGTTCCAAACCCTTTTGGAAACACAAAAAATTTTAAAAAACCTCAAAAGCCTATTCCACCGCTTAAAGAAGGTGGTAAAATTTTGATCACAAATTCGGAAAAATCTCAGTAACTTGCTAAGCAATTCGAGAGTTCCCATAATTTCAGTTTGGGTCTTACTAGTCCTATTGAGAATCAGGTTGCTCGGGATTATCTGAATATTTTCTCTCGGGAAAATATTTTTGATGATTCCTGGGGGACTGATTTGGACGAAGTAAGGTCTATAACTAAAAAGTTTCAAAATATGAAAGCTTCAGGTGATGATGGAATTTTCTATATCCTCATCAAAAAATTCCCAGAGAGTACCTTGTATTTCTTGGTAAAATTATTTAACAGATGTTTCCATTTGGCATACTTTCCTGATAAATGGAAAAATGCAAAAGTTGTTCCAATTTTGAAGCCGGATAAAAATCCAGCTGAAGCATCCAGCTACCGTCCAATAAGTTTGCTTTCTTCAATGAGTAAACTTTTTAAAAATATCATTTTGAATAGAATGATGCTTCACATCAATACGAACTCAATTTCAAATTCTTAAGAGTAACCAATTTAATTCGTTCAAACAAATCTGAAGGCCACTCAACTGGAGTTGCTCTTCTAGACATAGAAAAAGCATTCGACAGTGTTTGGCATGAAGGTTTGATTGCTAAATTGAAAAAGTTTAATTTTCCATTTTATGTTATGAAATTAGTTCAAAATTATATAATTGACAGAACTCTCCAGATACATTATCGAAATTCCAAATCTAAATTCGAAAATGTTAGAGCAGGAGTTCCTCAGGGTAGCATTCTTGCGCCTATATTATTTGTTTATTTGTTTATTATGAATTATTGCAACTGACAGTTAGTGTCTAAATGAATAAAACTTAAACTTATTAGTCAATATATACGGTCAACGGTACGAAAAAAGCCAAGTAGCCGATGACGAAACACGTCGCCTGACACATTGGAGTCGAACACACCAAAGAAGTTGTTGAACTGCCGGGTGATTGCTCGAATTGGCTCATGTCGTGCATAATTCCTGCTGTGGTTCCAAAAATGAAAAGTTACGTGGACGTGCCACCTCTAACGGTTCAATGCTCAGGAGACGGCAGCGCTCCTCGCACGGTGGCAGGTTGTGGTTTACACCAGTTGAGAAAACGAAGAGCGTATCTTACAAACTTTCGTTGAACGGATTCATTTCTGGCGATACAGTTGGCTTGGAAAGGGCACCATACAACAGAACTTGATTCCAATAGAGACCGGACGAGTGACCTGAGGCATAGCGGATTACGGAACTCGTCAGCAATTTTGAAAATAAAGCCCAATTGACGATTCGCTCGGGCAATAATATCGTTGTAGTGGATCCTGAATGTCAGTCCGCAATCCAGGATAACACCGAGGTCCTTTATGAGCTTTACACAAGACAAGATCCGAAGAGGACATAGTCAAAGATTACTGGTTCGTTTTAACGATGATAGGAAATTATGTAACATTTTTCGATGCTTACACTCATCAAATTTCTTGAGCACCAGTCATCAAAAGAACATAGCATACTCTGTAGATCGCAACAGTCTGAGAGGCTGTTCCATAGCTAATCTTGTAAATTTTTGAATCATCTGGAGAGGAGAGCCGACAACCTGATGGTAGCAGGAAGGAGACGTCTTTTAAGAGAATTGAAAACAGTAGCGGACCCAGGCTACTGCCTTGGTGTCCTCCGAGTTGTTTGAAAAACTTCCGATTTCGACGTGCCAATCTTGACTCGTACTGAGCGGCTCACCAAGTAGGATCTAAACCAATCCACGCCCTTTGACGAGACCCGAGCATCTCCAGCTCGCCAAGCATGATTTCGTGATACACCGTATGAGATGCGACCTTTAGGTCTATATATGCAGCATCGACTTGCCATCTCGAATCCAAGCATCGCAGACAGTTAGAGGTACACCAGGTTAGTGGATATCGAGCGCCTCGGATAGAAGCCGTGTTGATCCGTATCGATATAGTTTTTGCAGCACGCGAGCAGAGCATCATTTATAATAATCTCGAATAGTTTTGAACAGGCACACAGGGAGGTGATTCCACGATAATTAGCAATATTCAGTTTGTCTTCTTTTTTTGTAGATTGGGAAAAGGTAAGAAAGTTTCCATCGGGCGGGGAACTCGCTATGCTGAGCCGAGCGATTGAACAGCCTCACAAGCGGGAGGCAGAGCTTGGCTGCACATCGTTTTAGAACTGATGCAGTAATGCCATCAGAACCGGCGGCGAACGAGAGCTTCAATTTACGTGTTGCAGCTATCATCATGTCTTCTTTTTTTATTTATTTATTTGATAAGGCGCAATCGAATTAACTTTACAGAGTCGAAGATTCTTATTCACTATACAATATATCTTAAAACTATAGTCAAAAGGTACAACACAATAAACGCTTTATCTTCCGCTATCCAATAAGCCTCCTCCAACAGAACAGGATCCGCTTGAAGTGATTTCATTGTATGGCAGTATCGCCAACGGGGGGCAGAGCACTTCCATTGCAGCAACGGACGCAAAATATAGTTAGCACTCACACACTCATCACGAAACGGTTGCTTTCCAAGGTCAACGACCAGGCCAGTTACAAGGCCTATACCAACAGCAGCGTTTGACAGAAGTTTATGCCACTGGGCTGTCAACGACGCATCGACCGTAAGAACTGCTGATTAATAACAATGAGGAGGACCAAACGGTGATTGCTGCTGAGTAAACAGACGATCGCGTGACACACATCGAGAGTAGCCTGCTTCTGTCGACAGCCGAGTGAACACTCATCACCATGTCTTTTGTAATGCAACAAATATCAAACCTGAACGCATCACGTGGCTCCCCGGTAGTAGCATCCAGCACAAACAGGTTGCATTTCTCACTTTCGTTATTGGCCGTATCATTTCCGAGAACCATGAAGCAAGGCCGAGCAAAAACTTTTCCGGTTCGTGTGAAAGTTCGCTTCCGTGCGTCTCACGTGTCGATTGTGAATAAAGTGACTGTAATTTCTATAGCGACGACTTGCGAAATCAAACAGTCGTTTGTAGTACGGTGAACAAAAATTACATTTTTAACATTTTAACTTCGGACCTCCCTGATTTGCCTCAGGGTTGCCACACATGTTTAATCGCCGATGACACAGGCCTAGAGCTTCCTTTTTAAAACCTATTCGCCATGAACGGAGTTCCAATTTCTTGATCAAGTCAAGTGAAATATCTTGGATTAGTACTTGACCAAAAATTAACCTCTAAAGACACATTGAGGGCATTCAAGCCAAATGTAATAAATATTATATAAAATGTTTGTATCCTCTTATAAACAGGAAATCCAAACTTTGCCTGACGAATAAACTTCTAATATTTTAACAAGTTTTTATACCGGCCATGCTTTACGCTGTGCCAATATGGTCTAGTTATTGCACTACCAGGAAAAAAGCACTTCAAAGGGTTCAAACAAAGTTCTGAATATGATTTTGAAGTTGACTCCCTGGTACAGTACTACCGAGGTACATAGAATTTCAAAGGTTGTGATAAGATTAAGTTTTAGTTTTTCGTTTAAAGATGACAATAGTCATATTGCCATTACAGGTAAAGAAAACCTGTTTAATTTAAATGTTTACTGAATTACCAAAGCAAGAACAATGTAAACACACTTAGATATTTATCATAACAATTAAGGCTGGTAAGTTACTGTAGTAGCTGGAACAAATAAAGAGTTACAAAAAAAAAATTACAATTTCAACAAGCTTGTATGACTGTTCTTTAAATATAGGTCAACCCTTGAAGCTTCTGTAGGATTACAGAAAGAATTATTTTCTGATCAAAATCGTGAAATTTTATTCGACTTTCATTATGGTGGTCATCTTGCCCAACTTTCCCCTATAATAAAGTATATGTGGATACAAAAAAAAACATAAAGACTGTGATATGTACAAAGGTCAAACTTTTTCAGGATGGATTCAGAATCTTTATTTCTGTTCAGAATTGTAACAGCATTCGAGTTAGGTACCGGGTTTATTACTGTCTTTCTCGTTCTTCTTATGACCTCACATTTACGTACACAATTTGCGACAACGTACACCTACTACATATAGTTCAATTGAATTCTCACAATATTGATGTTTTGTTACACATCATGGCGTATTAATTTATTTTGTGATAATAGGTATCAATTCAAACAGGCTTGGATAGTGAACCAAACACTTCACTGAAATCAGTATTTTATTCACGAATCCGATGTTTATTCAACTAATACAACTAACACGGTTTAGGCAAAATGTACTAATTTCTTCGTCACGCTGGTTATTGAACATCGAATTCATGAAATAATCACAAATTTAAGTGAACCGCAATAAAAACTGTCCGATACAGTCTCGGTTCCCTACCCAAGTCTGAATTTAAACAGGAACTTAAAAATGAAGGAACTAATCATTTAGTATGTCTGCTTAAAAGCTGGTAAGTACAATTTGTGCTTTGTTTATTTTCTGCTAAACCTAGGACACTAAAACAGATTCAGACCTACAAATAGACTAAGGAGGTAGCAAATGCTGCTTCACGGAGTACCTAATAGTATATGGTCACTTACGAGGTTCTTATAAGTCGAGCAAGTCTAAAACCTTATCGCTAGCGAATTGAATTAATGTGCTAAATAGTTGATTAACGTGCTACTATAACATGTATCTGCTACTGTGTATTGTGAGCAGTATCGTGGTGCCGTAAGGAGAAATGCTATTAAACGTTGTGTGCACTGACATCGAGACTGGAAGAAGTGGATGTTCTATATTCGCTACTGAAGTAGGTCTACTGCACCATTGACAGTAGGATAATCCAAGGAGTTTCCGAAAGACGATTTGAGCTTCGAATCCATTCGCCTGGTCTTGGTATGGAAGTCAAACGTCGGCTGCGGCTGCCGTCGCACACTTTACTTGATAGAATACCCATTCTTCCATGAAGGATGGCACAAATGCGCTACACTTAGTAAAGTTTACCTTTGGTGACAGATTTTTCAATTGTTGTTCGTACATCTCTAGAGATTCCGGACAGCTTACTCCATTACCCTGTAATTCGAAATGGTTTATGATTAGAAGAAGAGAAAATCGTGTTTACCATTACTATCAGTACTCACATGGGTCATAAATTTGCCACCTGGCTTGAGAACCTTGAACGACGATTCGAGAATAACTCGAATGAAATCCCAGATCTCACCAGTTGGGGTGTCCGAAATCGGGATATCCGTAAGATCACCGAAGACGTAGTCGAATTTACGTTCCTCTTTGATGTATTTGTTCAAATACACCATGCAATCACCAACGACGATTTCATAATTGTCACTCTTGCGTTTTTCCAGCACGTCGCCGCAAATGGAGTTCATGTATTTGTTACACGCTTGCATAACGAGCTCGTCAATCTCCAGCATCACCACGTGCTTGGGATCTTCCTTCAGGAGCTCATACAGCAAGGCTCCATCTCCGCCACCGAGAATGCAGATTTCCTTACCCTTGTAGTTTTCTATACCTCGGCGCATCAATGTTTCCGTGTAGATCAGGTCGGCCTCAGCTATGTCTGTGGGGAAAAGGAAAATTGCTCGATACCGTATTCAAAACGTATGTTATCCGTGTCTACATACTTTGAAGTTCATCCAGAACTAGCATATGACCGAGGCTCTTGGAGTGTACGATTTGAATCTTCTGGAATTCCGAACGCTTGTCGTACAGCACCTTGTCGATGTCGTATTCGATGACACGTTCGTCTGGAAAATAGAAAACACTCAATTAGTTAGTTGCCTGAATGTCGCAGCATAATAATGGAATGATTTTGTTCAGTGTTGTTTTTCGGATAGTCGATGGAAGGAACCTGATGAACTTAATTGGTTAATCGAAAGCATGAGACCTGGCGAATGATTAATTCTTTCTTAAACTGGCACCTGGTTTTGTAACTATTAAGTTCTTCTCACGTAGGGTAAAATATGGCTTTGGCATTACCTATTATCGCCAAGGGGTAAACAAAATCCTAGGGCGCCGCTTATTTTTTGCATTAGGGTACATGTCATGTTTCAGAGCATCGGTTGTCTTAAATTGAGCTCTCAAGGATTTTGTTTAACCACTTAACGATAATAAATTAAGGTATCGCCGAAGCCGTCATTTACCCTTTTGTTGTTGTTTGTTTTGTGAGTTTTTTTTTCTTTGATTTGTTTTCCGTCGATCTTGTTTTCCGTGCTGAGCACCAATGCTACCGACGCCAGGGAGGCAGCTCCCACACCTGGCCCTACCTATCGACCCATCAACTCATGAACCGGGGACCAACGGCTTTACTTCCCTTCCGAAGGAAGGCGTGATCAGAGATGTTATGCCTCAGAACATCCCGACGGCGCCGACTGGGATTGAACCCAGGTCTGCTATCTGTCGATAGATCTTAAGTTTTAACAATTTGGTGAAATTCTCGAAACTTTTTTAAAATTTATGTAATTTCTCTAATGTTAATGGAACTACTCTGAGGTTCTCTATTATTTCCTGAAGTTGTACTGCCCTGAATTTAATTGAACGGTCCTACGAATTTTTAAGCTTTCGTCTTCTGGACTTCTGAAGACCTCCATAATTTTCTTAATATCTCCTACGTCTAAAAATCTGGCAACTTCTTAAAATTTCCCGTTAATTTTCTGATACTAATGGAACTGAACTCCCCCTGAAATTTCTCCTATTTTTTGGAGCTTACTATACTTATTTAAAATTCTCCCGCATTTTGATTATGTTCATGAAAGTTCCTGAATTAAATTGCCTGGGATCATATCGACCCCAAGGTACCAACAAAGGGTTAATGAATCTTTGGAATTATCAAAACTTTAACGTTTCATCTATTTCGTTTATTTTTTTTTTACTTTTCCGAACTAATTTATCATAAAGGCTGTCAAAAAATCATAAGGGCTTTCAAAACTGCATTGCCTGTTTCATTGAAGTCAAAACGCAGCAAAACCGTCGCCATAGAAAATCCTACAGCGACAATTTGAAACAAACAATAATAAAATCACCTTTAAGAAAAAATAGAGCTTAGACCTAATTTTGGGCCTACTAAACACAACCCGCCCTTTGACTCTATTTTTCGAGTGATTTTTTTTTCACAAAATTGAATGTTTTCACTGCATATGACTTCTAATTTTTTTTTACCTTTCCGAACGTACCGTAAGATTTGCTAAAGAGATACAAATTGTTGAGATATTCTTAAAAATCTAACACTGCTTCTTGACCGCAAACTCGGCCTACCGATTCTAAATTAGGCCTAATGCATTGAAACACCATTGAATTCACTTCGGTCTATCGGAAGAAGATAAAAATTGATCCGGTCGGAGCGCTTCTTGTTTTTGAGAAAAATGGGTGTAAACAATTAATATCACGCCTTCTTGTTGACTTGGTTCGGTAGCTTTTGAACTAAAGTATCGTACCAAACGCATAAATTGACTTGTTAACTCTGCAAAAATGGATTTATTTGATGTTTTCTGCTCGATAGGCCCAAAATGGGCGATTAAGCCGAAGTAGCGATCTACCTTATACACTGTGATAAGAATTGTTTAAACATTAAAAACTAAATTTTCTCAAAATACCCGGATTGGATTTAAATTCTTTTCACACCCGTAGATTCAGATTTTATGTAAGATTTTATACCAAAGATAATAGTAATTTATCATTAGTAAACTATTAAAAATTTATCAAACTTTTAGACCACAATTAAACAATCACGGACCTGCTTGTTAAGACTATCGAGAGAACATTGAGAGACGACCGGTTTCGAGTTTTTAAAAGAGCTTACCTCTACGTTTTGCTTTAACACTCCGAATACGATGCCTCCGAAAAACGTGTAACGGCAAGTTTGCAATGTCATAACTTAGCCATTTCTTATTGAATTTCAAAAATTGTGGTACCTTTAGAATTCCTAGGGTTTGTAGATGATTTTGTTTGCAAAAAGATTGGAAATAGAGTCGTCTACTTTTCTAAAAAGCGAAAAGAGTTGTTACACGTTTTTTTGAAAAGTGTGTTTGTAGGGTTTTGCAAGTGGCGCAAGATCTGTAATTTAGATTAATGGGCACAAATGTTCACAATTAGCCAGAAAACAGTCATGGTTGCTATATATGGATCCTGGAGACAACGGAACGGTCCTCAAAAAATCCGGAACATCCGTAAAAGTGGTCAATCCATGAACCAGATCCTAGAGCTCTGCGGTTCTTTTGAAAACATTAGGAACTGTGATATAAAAAAAATATTTGGGGTCGTGACATAAACATGTACCTGGATGGCCATGAGACCGTCCTCCGGAAGATCCGGAACATCCGTAAAAGTGGACAATCCATGAAACTGATCCTAGAGCTCCGCGTTTTTTTAAAAATTAGGATCTGTGATATAAGAATGAATTTGGGACATGGACCCAGATGGCCATCGGACCGTCCAGCGGAAGGTCCGGAACATCCGTAAAAGTAGTAAATCCACGGTCCTGATCCTAGAGCTCCGCATTTTTTTAACATTAGGAACTGTGATGATAGAAGCAATTTGGGGTTGTGACATAAACATGAACCTGGGTGTCCATGGGACCGTCCTCCAGAAGATCCGGAACATCCGTAAAAATGGTCAATCCATGAAACTGATCCTAGAGCTCCGTGGTTTTCTTGAAAACGTTAGGAACTGTGATATTAGAATGAATTTGGGATCGTGACATAATCAAGGACTCAGATGACCATCAAACCGTCCTCCGGAAGATCCAAAAAATCCAGAAAAGTGGTCAATGTGTGTAACTGATCCTAGAGCTCCACGGTTTTTTCGAAAACACTTGGAACTGTCATATATAAATTAATTTGTGGTCGTGACATAAACATGTACCTAGAAGGCCATGGGACTGTCCTCCGCAAGATCAAAAATTTCTTTTATAATGGTCAATCCTCGAAACTGATCCTAGAGTTCTACGTTTTTTTTTTTCGAAAGCATGTGGAACTGCGATATAAGAAAGAAAGAGAACATGAATACGAAATAAAAATCGAATTTGCTGTAAACAGTGTTACGTTATCGTTTTTTTTAATCGTGCTTAGACATTCTGGTATGTCACGGAACTTTGAGATGATGGCGGAAACGTACATCAGACTGAAGGCTGAAGCTAGGCGGACTTGCCATCAACGCATCAAAGACAAAATACATGAAAGAGGTTCTAGGGAAGACAATGTTAGCCTCCCACCCCGAGTTCAGATTGACGGTGACGAAATCGAGGTGGCCGATGAGTTTGTGTATTTGGGCTCACTGGTGACCGCCGAAAATGATACCAGCAGAGAAATTCAAAGATGCATTATGGCAGGGAATCGTGCCTACTTTGGACTCCGGAGGAGGCTCCGGTCGAATAAAATTCGCCACCGCACGAAGTTGACTGTCTACAAGACGCTGATCAGCCTCTACGGCCACGAGACCTGGACTATGCTTGTGGAGGACCAACGCACCCTTGGTGTTTTCGAACGGAAGGTGTTGCGTACCATATACGGTGGAGTGCAGATGGATGACGGAACGTGGATGAGGTGAATTAACTACGAATTGCACCAGCTGCTGGGAGAGCCATCCATCGTCCACATTGCAGAAATTGGGCGACTACGGTGCGCTGAGCACGTCGTAAGAATGCCGCACGACGACTCAGTGAAAATTGTTCGACCCAACAGGAACAAGAAGAAGAGGCGCTTAGCGGGCAAGGTGGATTGACCAAGTAGAAGGTGACCTGCGGACCCTTCGCAGACTACGAGACTGGCGAACTGTGGCCATGGATCGAGTAGAGTGGAGACGACTTCTTCGGACAGCAGAGGACAAGAAGGCCTTAGCCTGATTGGTAAGATAAGGTACATTCTGGGACACCCTATATAGGAACTTCTGCAGCACCTCAAACATAGATAAAAATCATAGCTCTGGGACCTAGACAACTTTCTGACGTAGAACTACGAGATTATTTTGCTGTTCCATTTAATAATATATAAAAACAAAATAAATGGTTTAGACATTTAAATGAAAGTTCGAAACCCTTGATATTTTTCATGGAAGTCCCTTGGAACTTTCATTAGAATTCACTTGAAATTATCTTTCAAATTCCCTCAGAACTCAATATTGTCGGAATTTCTTTGAAGTTCTCATAAGAACTCTCTTTACATTTTTCTCGAAATTTATTTAGAATATTCATTAGAAATTAACCTGTAATCCTTTTAACAATCGTCATGCAATTTCACACAGAACCACCTAATAATTCTACTTTGACCTAACTTAAACAATTGAATTGGCGTTGTAGTCAAAACTCTATAAAAATAATTCCAAAAGCTCCATTGGAATCTGTATTTTACATAGGGGAATTTACGTATTCTCGTCAATCTAAGCAGCTTCCGCACTTCTATTAGCATTTTCTCAGTGTCACGCACACATATGACGTGTCTGTTTGTTTACATTCATCTGCTGCTAGCTATTCTATCCATTCCAATCAACAAAACTGTCCAAAACGGTTTGAAAACGTTTTTAAGGCGCTCCAAACTTCTCAGGTGAGTGTGACTATTGTCGGCAGCCTCTTTTACTTCGGCAACCTTTCCGTTTAAACTGCGTGTTAACCAGCTGTTCTATTATCGGCAACTCGAAATCAGCTGTATTTTGATGTGCTTATGTTTCTTTTGAAGAAACACCTAGCATAACAGATTTGCTCAGTCGTAAAAATGTATTAGGATTGAAGCTGAAAGACTAAGGAATCGTGCAAGTA